AAAGGCCATTGTAGAGAAAGAGTTGAATATTAAGATTAAGTCTGATATGAAATTATGTGAAGCTTGTGTAGAGAAAGAGTTGAATATTAAGATTAAGTCTGATATGAAATTATGTGAAGCTTGTGTATACGGAAAATCCCATCGTTTAAAGTTTGGAACCAGGAAAGCGGTTACAAAAGCTGGAGAGTTGTTCTCGACAGATATTTGTGGGCCATTTGATCAGTCATTTAGGAAATACCGTTACTTTGCAATCTTCAAAGATGCCTACACCAAATTTCGATACTGTTTTTTCTTAAAGCACAAATCAGAAGTAAAAGATGTGCTTGAAAATTTCATAGCTCACGCTAAGAACTTAGGGCATACAGTTAAAGAAATACTCAGTGACAATGGTGGAGAATTTGACAACCAAGCCGTTCGCAAGATCTTGAACAAGCATGGAATCTTCCAGAGGCTCACAGCTCCGTATACACCAGAACAAAATGGCAGTGCTGAACGAGAGAACAGAACAGTCCTAGAAATGGTCAGAACTCTCAAATACTCGAATGAGGAAGTGGACTTTCCAGCTTTCCTATGGGCAGAGTTCGTCAGTACTTCAATTTATATATTGAATAGGACAGGCAAGTCTTCAGTTCCTAATTCAAACCCTTATGAATTATGCATAGGAAAGAAACCCAGAATAAAACACATGCGCATCATTGGATCGACTTGCTATACTCATATCCCAGTTCAGAAGAGGAGAAAGATGGACAATAGGGCAACTAAAGGCTATCTCTTTGGGTATGATGGAGATGAAAGGTACCGCATTTACATCAAAGAAACCAGTACAGTAATCTGTTCCCGAGATGTCATATTTGAAGAGAAACCTTCCATGACTGGAAACATTATAACATTGCACCCACAAAAAGTTTCTGGAAGAAATTCATCTCAAGATGATGAGTTGAAAATAAAGTAATAGACGAAGGCCCTCAACAGGAAAAGAAGGAGGTGGAGGATATACCAGAAAAAGAGACTCGACCCAGAAGACAAATTTCAGCGCCTAAGTGGACAAAGGATTATATCATGGAAAATTCAGAGATTTATGAAGAAAATCCTCCAGAAATAAATGGAATTACAAGTGGAATGCAGTGCAGCTGACAATCCGAGAAACAGAAATATGAAGGCTCAACACTCAAGAAAGCTTTCGTGAATGATCCTGAAACTTTAGAAGATGCATTAACTAGTTCAGATGCAGAAAATGGAAGTTAGCCATGGAAGAAGAGTTGGAAAATTTAAAACGAAATGAAACTTGGGACATAGTGCCTAGGCCAGAGGGAAGGAAAGTTGTGAAATGTAAGTGGGTCTTCAAGAGAAATCTTAACAAAGATAGACAAGTGGAAAGATATAAAGCTCGTTTAGTTGCTCGTGGCTACACCCAAGTCAAAGGAATTGACTACAAAGAGATGTTTTCTCCTGTAATAAAAACAAAATCAATTAGAACTTTATTAGCATTCTCAGTTGAGCAAGACTGGCAGGTTCATCAAACTTGGATAATTACTGCAGCCTATTTAAATGGAGAAGACTGAGTGAGACAATTTTCATGAGGAACAGCCATCCAGTGAGTCTGCATGAGAAAACACACAGAGCGAAGTTTGCTTGCTAAAGAGAAGCCTTTATGGACTTAATCAGTCTAGGAGAGAAGTGTGGAATATGTACCTCGATAAATTTCGAATGAAATCAACGAAGCCTAACAAGGATCCAGAGCAGATCCTTGTGTTTACTTCAATAAAGAAAAGGAGTTAATTGTAGGTGTGTATGTGGATGATCTTCTTGTAATGTCCAGCAAAGAATTCATGATTCAGGAATTTAAGGATACTATTGCAGCCTACATTTAAAATCAAGGACTTGGGAGAAATACATCACCTTCTTTCAATTAGGATCTTTAAGCAGAAAGGGAAGATAGCTGTGTGACTCTTGACCAAAGTGTCTATGCCTAGTGAGCTCTTGGAAACAACCAATATGCAAGATGCTAAAAGAGCATCAACACCATTAGATCTAGGTATGAAATATACAACAGCCACTAAGGATAACATGTTGAATGCTGAAGGAGCATTAAAATATAGGCAGGCTGTTGGAGGGCTCTTGTACCTAGCAGGAGGAACAAGGCCAGATTTAGCTTTTGCTACTACTTACATGAGCCAATTCAATAATTGCCCAAGCAAGGAATATTGGGCTGGTGTACAACATATCCTTTGTTACCTAAAACAGACCAAGGAATTAAAGCTGACTTTCCAAAAGACAGGAAAGAATTTGGAAGTGTTTTGTGATTCTGATTGGGCTGGTGATAAGATTGACAGACGTTCATTTAGTGGCTATGTGGTGCTACTAGCAGGTGGAGCTGTCTCATGGAGCAGTAAGAAACAACAGACGACTGCATTGTCAACAGTTGAAGCTGAGTACCTCTCATTGTGCCACGCAGCCAAGGAAGTACTGTGGTTCCAAAATTTTCTTAAAGAAATTGTGGGAGAACATTTTTTAAACTTTTCACAAAGCATATTTGTTGATAATCAGGGTGCCATTTTAAATCTCTGCTTATTTATTTGTCTCCATTCCTAACGTTAGACTTCAACATGTTAACTAGAACAGAAAGATTTTTATGAATGTGAAATGCTTCTAGAAAATCCAGTTCTCCAATGGAAGATGTCTTTTGAATAATTTTGGCAGCAGAAAAATTGAAAGTGTGGTTTTCGGACCAACAATGTTGAGCAACAGAAGACTTCTGTGTTTCGTTTCTTCTAACATATGCCTCATGTTCCTTGACGCGAAATTTTAAGGCTCTCTTAGTTTGGCCAATGTAAATTAAACCACACTGGCAAGGAATCCTATAAGTACCCCAGGAATTCATATCCGGAATGGGGTCCTTGAGTATGGAACTCGGAATTTTATTGATGGGAGAATAAACAACCCGAAAGTTAAATTTCTGCAAACTGTGTGCAACTTTATAGCTACTTGATGGAAAGGAGGGAATGACAACAGAATTTTTATAATCTCCTGAAACAAGAGTGTGCCTTTTAGTGTGTTGAGATGAAAATTTTTTAACTGCTTGATTAGTAATGTTGCGTGAACAGCCCCTGTCAATAGCTATTGCTTTTAAATAATTTATTTCTTCATCAAGGGCTAGTTTGGAGGAGCAAACTTGAAGAGCGCGGAAAACATAGGAATAAAATGAAGCTAACTTTTGTTTAGTCGGATGACATGATTTAGAGTGTGGTGGAAGGCAAACCGAAGAAGGTTTACGGTAAACCGTAGTACTGAAGTTGGATGTGTTACGTGTGACCAGAATGTCGAGAAACGGAAGAGAATTGCAAGTCTTAAGTTCAAAAGTGAACTGAATAGCAGGATCAATAGAATTAGTTAGCTAAATATTTAGTTTCTAGATTTTCCACTCTATTAGAAAATAACGTTTACACCATAAAAAATTCAATAGAGTTTGTAAAAAAGGTTAAAAACATTTCTTCTAGTAATTTACTCATGGTTTCTTTTGATGTAAAATCATTATTCGCCAATGTCCCAGTGGAGGGTGCATTAAGATGTCTAGAAACCAGACTTCGCGAATTTCATTTCTCTTGCATCGAAATTGATGAGCTAATTTCTCTCACTCAACTCTGTTTGAAACAAACACATTTTGTTTTCCAAAATAAATATTACAAGCAAACTGAGGGATTAGCCATGGGAAGCCCCCTCAGTCCCATCCTGGCTGATATCTACATGCATTATTATGAATCAAAATTGTTTGAAACTTTAAACTTCCCGGCATGGTTCCGCTACGTAGACGATACTTTTACCCTGTTTGAAGGTAATAAAGATGATTTAAATAAAGTTCTTTCAACAATGAATTCTATTGATCCTGCTATTCAGTTCACTTTTGAACTTGAGACTTGCAATTCTCTTCCGTTTCTCGACATTCTGGTCACACGTAACACATCCAACTTCAGTACTACAGTTTACCGTAAACCTTCATCGGTTTGCCTTCCACCACACTTTAAATCATGTCATCCGACTAAACAAAAGTTAGCTTCATTTTATTCCTATGTTTTCCGTGCTCTTCAAGTTTGCTCCTCCAAACTAGCCCTTGATGAAGAACTAAATTATTTAAAAGCAATAGCTATTGACAGGGGCTTTTCACCCAACATTATTAATCAAGCAGTTAAAAAATTCTCATCTCAACACACTAAAGGCCACACTCTTGTTTTAGGAGATTATAAAAATTCTGTTGTCATTCCCTTCTTTCCATCAATTAGCTATAAAGTTGCACATATTTTGCAGAAATTTAACTTTCGGGTTGTTTATTCTCCCATCAATAAAATTCCAACTTCCATACTCAAGGACCCCATTCCGGATATGAATTCCTGGGGTATTTATAGGATTCCTTGCCAGTGTGGTTTAATTTACATTGGCCAAACTAAGAGAGCCTTAAAATTTCGCGTCAAAGGAACATGAGGCATATGTTAGAAAAAAGGAAACACAGAAGTCTTCTGTTGCTCAACATTGTTGGTCCGAAAATCACACTTTCAATTTTTCTGCTGCCAAAATTATTCAAAAAACATCTTCCATTGGAGAGAACTGGATTTTCTAGAGGCATTTCACATTCATAAAAATCTTTCTGTTCTAGTTAACGATCCTAATTCCAATCCAAATTTGCCTTCAGCCTTTAAAGAAATTATGTTTTAGTTCTGGTTTCACCAACAGATGGCGCCACTTGCTTATTCTTGTCCAGGCTTTCTTATCTTATCTAATCATTATTTCCTATCTTGTTCATTTGCGGTTTTGCAGCTGAGGATGGTGGCTCGGTAAAACCATCGAAACTAGTCCTGTGAAAATTTTGTAAATATAACGCTGATTTTTGTTGTTTGACTTTTGAATTAGCAGTTACTTAGTTATTAAGTAATGATTAAATGCTGTATTTTTTTAAATACATATTATAAAGGCTTTTAAAGAAAAATTAACACTGTTTCATACAAAACCTTATATGGAGAAGTACAACATCATCCCATGGAGGTTCAAACAATCGCCTAATGCTTAGTTCAGGATTCGACGAAATTATTCTTTGACTTGCAGCATGAGAATGTTGAACTGAGAGATAATCCTGCATAAAGAGACAAATTTCCCAAATTAAAATAAGCAGAAAATATTTTTTAAAGTGAAAGTAGGTTTAATGCATAAAACAGCTGACAAGCAATAGTTTCAACAGCTGAAACTCTGACAGATATTATTATTCAAAAGTGAAATAAAGAAAATAGTGCATAAATATTATTTCACTGGCCAAAAACTGTTGCCAAGCAGTGCGTTACAGCTCCAGTTACGGGTAAGCATGACCTAGCAAAATGCTCATTTGATTCTTGATAAGCCACCTTTTGTTTTTATAAATAAAGATATAAATTAACTCATATTGCTGGTTTTTTTTTTTTTTTTTTTTTTTTTTTTCATTTTGAAAAATAAAAATTAATAAAATTTTAGATTTATCTTCTACAGAACAGGAGATTATCGATTATTTTCAATGTTTAGGACAAATCCATAAAAAATATGCATTATTATACAGCTGAATATGGCAGATGAAACAGTAACAGATTGGAAGAATTATAGGCACAACAAAATAGCAGAAATCTACAAAAGCATTTCTACGCAGTGAAAAAATAAAGCGTGTTGAATAGTGATTGCTTATTAAATGAAAAGGCATCAGTTCCTTCACAATTCCACAGGAACGATTTGGTGGGATCTCTGTCAATTTCCATGGTTTGATGGTAGCTAACTTTCACTGCTGACATCATAATAGGTAAGTACTAAGAAAACTAACACTGGGATAACATATAATAACCTAAAGCAAAAACCTGTACCCCAAAGTAATTAAATTTAAACACAGTTTTATAATGTCATAACAAAATCTATAATAACAGTCCAATACACATTACAGGCCTGGCAGATTGTTGAAAAAGAAATGGCTGAATTTTTAAATTCTCGGAAAAAATAAGCAGCAAATCTACTTAATCAAAGTAACTAATATGCTTTTGTTTATAAAGAAATGTTACTTTATGCCACATCAAAAACTTAAATGTCTCTAGAAATATGGAAATGTTCAGTGCCCTGATAGATGGACATATCATTCCATCTATCAGGGTACTGAAATAGGCAGGAAATTCTATCAAATGGCATTTCTCCAACAGAATATAGTGCAATTGCTTAGAAAGAATAATAAATTCAGTCAGGGAATATAACATATTAAGTTAGGGGCTGTAGGAGATAAAAGCAACTTTTGGATTTGAAATGGTTTTATCTATTTATCAACATCCAACTAGCTTATCTCCATGATTTGGGACTTGGCACTAGCTTGTAATAGCAATCACCTTGTCTAATAAGCTGTTCTAGACAATTAAAGCATAACACTTGGAGCATTTGCCAGATATTCAGACAATATACTGTCTTGGCTCAACCAAACAAGAAAAATAAATAAGAAATTAATATGCAAACAATGACCACTGCTTACTCTGACGTAGAGGAATGTTCAGAATGTTTCAGGAGTTTCTTTTACCTCCTAAACTACCGAGTTGTAAACCTAAGTAATATCAAGTTCTCTTCATACATTGTATTTGGGGGTGGGGGTACTATTCAATTCTGTGGACAGCAAAAATTTAAAAAATCATTTTGCCTTATTCTGATTGATGAATTAATAGCACACCACCTATTAAGTTTGTTACACAACAATATTGATTAAAAGATAAGAAATAGTTGAATACTGTGTACTCAACCATGAGTTACCTCTCATACAGGCTATTATGAATATGCTTCAGTCATGTCCTTTAACATGGAGAGAACACCAAAGCACATAATACAAGGATTCTCAACTACAGAGGAATTCCCTACTAAGGAAGAATTTCATAGTTTTGAAGAAAGAATGCAGTCAACCTTTTATTTTTCTGTTAAGTGGTTAGTTTTATTTCATGAATATACAAGGCGTATTTGGAAACTAGTACCGTTTTGAAAAAAAAAAAAAAAAAAATAGTAAAACAATTTTTTCGAATCCAATTTTATTTTTACATGAAAATACATGTCTTAAACTATTTTTCAACATAGTTACTGCCAATTATCAAACACTTGTCATAGCGGGTGACCAGTTTTTATATACCATTGTCAAAGAAACTTCCCGCCAGTTTCGATAACCACGACTCCACAGCATTTTTTGTGTCATCGTCAGATCCAAAGCGCTTCGAACAAAACAGTACGTGAAATTTGTGGAAATGCCTCTGAAAGAGTTGTCATTGTGAAGCGTCTGTTCTCATGAATTGCTTCATCAACTTTCCTTACCAAATCATCGGTGACAACAGAAGGCCGACCACTCCAAACCTCGGCGTGGACATTTGTTCGACCTGCATTAAACATTCTTACCCACTTTCTCACCATTCCATCACTTATCGCGTATTCACCATAAACTTCTGTCACTTGACGATAAATTTTGGCCGGTTTAACATTCCTCGCATTCAAAAATTTAATCAGGGCACGAATCTCGCAGTCAGCAGGAGAACTAATTGTCTTAAACATTTTGAATGTGCACAGCAAACTGAAAACACAACATAGAGCAACCAAAATGGTGACAATTGAAAGTCAGTGAACAAGAAAGTCTAGTGCGCATGCGTGGGACGCCTACCACAGCGCTGCAACGGCGCTAGAATGAAACGGTACTTAGTTTCCGAATATGCTATGTAAAAAAGTACTTTTATTCAAGTAACATTTTCTACACTTTTTCTTCTTTAATTTATAAAACATATTTAACAAATAAACTAAATTTAAATAAATATACATGCATTTTTTGGTAAAAAATTTTTTTAAGTTTCAGAATGGAGAGGGGGAATGAATGACCATCTAGCAATAGTGAAAGAAGAGCATGGAGCAAAAAAAGTTGGGAAGCACTAACATAATATTGTTACAAATCTAGTATAATGTAACATGAAATGTCCGAAGAGGGCGAAGCTCTACTAGAGAAAGAAGCGGAGCAAGTCTAACACTGAAGTAAATGGCTATCCCACTAAGCTGGTGAGATATCACCAAGCTGGCAATGGTTTGGGTAGCTAATTTTTGCTGCCAAATTTGGTGACATTCTGGTTTGGTCCAAGTATAACTGTATGGGTACTGTAACTCAACAACTGTACTTAATCCCTATATGTAACTCTAACTGTGTCTCCCATCAATTAAAGAAATAAAAGGTGCCAGAAATTTCTCATCAGCCAGGCGAAAACTATGTATGACTGGAGAGAGCATCAGTCCTCAGTTTTGAATTCAGAGCTGACTTTAGTATTCAGAGATCTCCATGTGAACTTCGCTCTGCATTGTATTGTATTTAACTTTCTTAGTAGTTTGAAGTTGTAACTGCTGACTGTGCTCTGTCATCTGAGAAGAGCTTTATAAATACTTATGTGGGCTGTGCCAGAACTGTGAAGTGTTTCTTTTGGGAAAAAAAATTTTATCAATCTATAATCGGTTCTGTGTGCATTCAATCTATTATGAACACACATGCAAAAAATAATTTTTAGTGTCAGAAATGGGATTGAATGCTGGTAACAAGTGTAATGAATAAGCAACTAAGACAGTTGGTGACAGCCTTTGCTACATTTCATGTAAAGATGGATGGGGGTTGCCCACTCCATTAAAGAAGAGATGAAAATAGTTCGGTAAAAGATGGAAATGAATCAAGAGACGAAAATGGGAAAAAAGATGGAAACAGCCATGAAATCTGGTCCAGAAACAATGGAGGCAGCCAAAGAAATGATAGAAGGAGCTGTAAAGTTAGTTCTAGAAAAGATTGAAGCAGATCAAAAGAAAATTAAAAGAGAAATTAATAGAAAACAAATTCAAGACTATGGAAGGCAGGATAGATATTTTTTTAAGATAAAGTTGGAGAAATTCAAGAGTTTCAGTTATTAAAGAACAAATTAAAAAAAAAGAGTTTTTGCAGTCCAATAACAAGCCAAAGAAAGAGTTTCTGCTGTCAAACAACAAACTAATGTCAGAGTTTCTGCTGCTGTTGCCAAATAAGTTAACACCTTAAAAAAGGCCATAGCAATAGCTGAACACAAATCTAGCGCCTTTAAATTCCTAACTGTGTTTTCTCATTCCTCTCTAAACAATTCACTGATGATGAAAAGACCTGGCAAGTGTGCCAGACTCAGTTTTCTATAGTAGTGGGCACAAACATATGGGATTCCCAAGCTAAACTAACAATAATTTATTACATTCATATTCGATACAATGATTTAGTTTGAAAAAAAGAACAGAAGCTAATACACATTTAGCCTTCATTTGAAAAGATTTCATGAAGTGGTAATACTGATGACTTCAAAGCAAAAACTGATTTAATATAATTAAAATATGAACAGTTCTATTTATTAATAAGTTTCAGTGATTAATGCAAATGCATAATTATTACCATAAACACAAACTTTTGATTCAATAATGTGAAAAAAATGCATCTGCTGTATTATACAATTTTATTCTGATAATCCAGCTGCACTAAAGCTCCAAAATGATGGATTACATATGCTTGACTTTTTGGTTGATCTTTAGATTATGGTAACTTGGTGATTTTTTGGCGAAAATTTGGCGACCAACTCTCCTACAGAAACCCTTTATTTTTTTTTTCCCGCCGGCATTTTATCTTCACGAAGTAAAGACATGTTTCTTTTCTTTTTATCTACTGAACACTTCTTCCAACAATCTACTAACCGAATTACACTTATGCTAGAAATTTTATCTAACAAAACTGCTTAATCATGACAAATATTCACTGCAAAATTGGGAAAAAGTGCACAATACTATACTCCTTACGTGTTTTTCAAAATAACACATACACATAAACCATGTACACGTCGACTTATTTTTACTTAAAAAAACATCCCAGAATTACACAAAAATGACATTGGGCACACTCTTCACTATATCCATGTACACTGCTTTTTTCTCATAAATTAGAAAAATTTCACGAAAATACATGACAATTTTCTGAATCTTTAACCCGGTAAAAAGAACATATATGAAATTACCTGATCGCGAAAAAGTACATACCCTTTCCAAATATGAACATTTCCACATATAAAATAAATAAAATATCCAAAAACTTTTACCTCTAAATCATCTATTATATTACAAACGTCACCAACGAATTCATACCGCAAGCATTACAAATACTTAGTGTCAAATATTTAAATTATTTCCATGCACGTTTACTTCAACTAAAACGTATACCAAATTCCTACAAACATAAAATTCACAAAATAACTATCATTTAATTAAAATATCACTAAACCATGTACAAGTCGACTTATTTTTACTTAAAAAAAAAATCCCAGAATTGCACAAAAATGGCATTGTGCACACTCTTCACCATATCCACGTACACTCCTTTTTTCTCATAAATTAGAAAAATTTCACGAAAATGCATGACAATTTTCTGAATATTTAAACCCATTAAAAAGAACATATATGAAATTACCTAATAACGAAAAAGTATATACCCTTTCCAAATATGAACATTTCCACATATAAAATAAATAAAATATTCAAAAACTTTTACCTCTAAATTATCTATTATATTATAAATGTCACCAACGAATTCATACCGCAAACATTACAAATGCTTAGTGTCAAAATATTTAAATTATTTCCATGCACGTTTCAACTAAAACATATACCAAATTCCTACAAACACAAAATTCACAAAATAACTATCATTTAATTAAAATATAATTAAATTCAAAAACACTACTTAAAAATATAAATAAGCACATACATTAAATTAATAAAAATTAGCTTACAATCCTAATTACTTTAAACTAAATCATTGCTAATAACAATTTTCCCAATAATACCAAATTACTTTACTTCCACCTTACATTTAGAACAATGCATAAAAATAATATCCTCAAATAATTAAAAATACTAACTTACCTAATCTTCTTCAGAATCTTGATTACATGTCCGATAAACTTTTCTTATTTCTTCCGCTAAACAAAAAGCAAGCGTATGTGCGCCTGTTTCAGGATCTTTAAAATCATACTTATAGTTCACAGCAAGGTACCAGGTAAAATAAATAACTTAATAAAACATCTTTACTTCTATCTCGCACAACCTTAAAGAAACACTTATGACTACCCCTTTCAATCTCACTAAATACCCATTTCGAATTCACTTTAGTTAGGGCCATGGGATCCAAAAATTAACGAACACTGTTTCACACAACACAGAATAAAGCCAAATACAAAATTTCCAGATTTTTTTCCCGATTTCCCCCCTTTTCCGATTAAAGAACCGTAATTCGTCCATTAATATCACATGACATATCCCATGATCTCTCATTTCCCTCACACAAAATAATGCGTAATCGGAAGTGAGTACTGCTCACATTATTACCAAAGTCCCAGGTAGTAACCTTTATCGCCTCCAAAATGTCGCCAAACTACCAGTAACCATATTCTAAAGATCAGCCGACTTTTTATCTATTTTATATTCTATAAATTACTGTCATATAATTGACAAAATTACTTTTTTTTTTTTTTTTAATCTCAGTTTTAAAGTAGCACTCTAGATCAATAATGTAGGTACTTCAAACTTAAACTGGCTTGCAACATCAAGGTTTGTGTAATAAAGCAGCAGTTTCAATTAAACTACATCAGCTCAAAGTTTCTCAGATTTAGTTCTAGTACCAATAATGATATCATTATCTTCCTAATGCCAAATGCAAGTGCTAAGAGCATTTTATTTACACTATGCTTTAAAGACAGAACACATAAAACTGAGGTAAAAGAAAAGAAATAGTCAAATAAAGGCAAAAAGAGAAAATTTATTTATGCAAATAATTCGGTTGATCTTTACATTATGGTAACTTGGCGTTTTTTTTGGCGAACATTTGGCGACCAACTCTCCTACAGCAACCCTCTATTTTTCCCCGCCGCCATTTTGTCTTCACGAAGTAAAGACATGTTTCTTTTCTTTTTATCTACTGAACACTTCTTCCAACAATCTACTAGCCGAATTACACTTATGCTAGAAATTTTATCTAACAAAACTGCTTAATCATGACAAATATTCACTGCAAAATTGGGAAAAAGTGCACAATACCATACTCCTTACGCGTTTTTCAAAATAACACATACACATAAACCATGTACACGCCGACTTATTTTTACTTAAAAAAAACATCCCAGAATTGCACAAAAATGGCATTGCGCACACTCTTCACTATATCCATGTACACTGCTTTTTTTCTCATAAATTAGAAAAATTTCACGAAAATACATGACAATTTTCTCAATCTTTAAACCCGGTAAAAAGAACATATATGAAATTACCTAATCACGAAAAAGTATTTACCTTTTCCAAATATGAACATTTCCACATATAAAATAAATAAAATATCCAAAAACTTTTACCTCTACATCATCTATTACATTATACACGTCACCAACGAATTCATACCGCAAGCATTACAAATACTTAGTATCAAATATTTAAATTATTTCCATGCGTGTACCAAATTCCTACAAACATAAAATTCACAAAATAACTATCATTTAATTAAAATATCACTAAACCATGTGCACACAGACTTATTTTTACTTAAAAAAACATCCCAGAATTGCACAAAAATGGCATTGCGCACACCCTTCACTATATCCATGTACACTGCTTTTTTCGCATAAATTAGAAAAATTTCACGAAAATACATGACAATTTTCTCAATCTTTAAACCCGGTAAAAAGAACATATATGAAATTACCTGATCGCGAAAAAGTAATGAACATTTCCACATATAAAATAAATAAAATATCCAAAAACTTTTACCTCTAAATCATCTATTACATTATACATGTCACCAACGAATTCATACCGCAACCATTACAAATACTTATTGTCAGATATTTAAATTATTTCCATGCACGTTTACTTCAACTAAAACGTATACCAAATTCCTACAACATAAAATTCACAAAATTCACAAAATAACTATCATTTAATTAAAATATAATTAAATTCAAAAAACAATACTTAAAATATAAATGAGCACATACATTAAATTAATACATACATAAATACCCATTTCGAATTCACTTTAGTTACGGCCATGGGATCCAAAAATTCACGAACACTGTTTCACACAACACAGAATAAAGCCAAATACAAAATTTCCACATTTTTTCCCGATTTCCCCCCTTTTCCGATTAAAGAACCGTAATTCGTCCATTAATATCACATGACATATCCCATGATCTCTCATTTCCCTCACACAAAATAATGTGTAATCGGAACTGAGTACTGCTCACATTATTACCAAAGTGCCAGGTAGTAACCTTTATCGCCTCCAAAATGTCGCCAAACTACCAGTTACCATATTGTAAAGATCAACCAATAATTCCATCATCAAAGTATCTAATATAGTAATTATCATTTCAGATCAAAGCAGAGATGTTATGAAAATAATATGAATAGTTCAAATTTAATCGAACAATTAATTAGAAAAAATTATTTCACTGCAAAATAAAAAATTGGGTAAAAAATACATACACTACAGTAGACACAATTAAATTATGCTGTGTATTATAAAATACCATAAAAAATATTATTTTTAATCTAACATGGGTTATACCATTTATATTCAATTATTTTCATAGAATACACAAAAAACAGTTATAAAATTAAATGTCAGAATCAAAACAAAAAAAAAATTGCAATTGTTTAATTGATAATAATAATAATTTAGTCTTTAAAAATGCACCAATATCCTGATCACATCTGTGAAACATTGTGTGTAACAATGAAATTTTCATATTAACTTACAGCAACATATTCACCATTACCAGACCGTAGAGAATCTTCTATCTGTAATAGATAATCATTCTTTTACTGAAACATATAACATATATGGATGTTGATTATATATACAGATAATATTACACTAATTATTTTTAACAAACTAATTCAAATAGTACATTGCAAATAATTCATTGTATACTTTTTTAAATAAAGGAACATTTATCTGCCACAAAATTTAATCAAGTTCACTTAATAAAACAACCAAAAATGCATTATTAATTTAATTAATGTACATTTTAGAAATTTATGTATTTATCTGGTAATCATGTAGTATAAATTAGAGAATTTCTTAAACTTAATAAGCAACTCATTTATTAATTCAAACCTTAAAACATGATGAATTTTATACATACAAATATTTATAAAAATTAAAAATATGATGTTGCATATGAATTTATACGTCAATACTATTAATCTTCCTGAAATTTTACCTAAAATATCGTCAATAACGCATGCACTGCAAGAAATATCTTTGCAGATAAGGAATGACAGAGACAATAAATATCTTTATCGTACTTTTTAACTTGTTAATGATGATTAAAATGTAAAATTTACATTTTATATGTATTGTACAAATTTCAGAAGAAAAAAAAATTCATTTTAAATACAGTGTGTCACATTTGCTTTTGGACTTTTGTATTTTTGAAATTTATTGGCATATATCTTTTACTAAATATTTAAAGACAGGCTCAAATCTTTTTCTAATACATTATTTTATCTCTATACTTGCTTATTACAAAATAAATATCATCAAAACATTCCTTGCAACAAAATAATTTATTATAAAAGTTTATCAGTAACTTGTATAATAATTCAGACATTCAAAAGTTTCATTGAGATGTCTTGACATATAGTCATAAATTCTTATTTTAAATGAAAAGACATCACAAGAATTATAATTTACATTATGAAATTATTAATTGTTTAGCAAAATATATTAATGGTTCCATATTTGAAGTGAACACGGGAAGATGCTACGAATTAGCGACAACTGTAGTTCAAAATTTAATTATCCATGATTTCAAAGATAATAAAAGTATTTAAAATATTCAAAAAATTCTTGAAGTGTTAAGTCTTTAATATATATTGCACAATGGGAATTGCATGGAACTGTTCAAAATGAAGCTAACATAAAGGAACTGCAGATTTATCTGATGAAAAATCAAACAAAAAAATTACTGCTGTAAAACTTGCAGCAGATGTGGAAACAGCTTGCAATAAAAGTTAATGCTGAAACTGTTAGAAGAGTTAGTAGGGGATATGAAAACAATGGGCTATCCGCAAAATGAAAATTCTTGGTCAAAAACAAAAATATTAAAATATGTCAAGCATTTGCAAAATCCATGCTAAACAAGGCTTTACCATATTGAAATAATGTTACATTTACAGATGAGTAAAAATTTAATGTATTTGGGTTCAATGAATGAATTGCTATGAGGTAGATGCCATATGAAAAACTGCACCCTGAAAAATCTATTGCCAACTGTTAAACATGAAGTTGGATGCACAATGCTAGAGTATGCTTCGCTCTTTCTGAGATGGGAAATTTATTTTTTATCGAAAATAATAAGATCAGCATAAATATATAAAGATTCTGAATGAAAACACGAAAGCCTCTGCAAGAAAACTTAAAATGAAAATATATTCAAGTTATATCACGGTAACGATGCTAAACATACAGCGTCCTAAATATAATAAATGTTCACTTGTGATTATTATACAGTTGTTCTAAAGTTATCAAAACTCTTTTATATTCTTCGGATTTAAATCCTATGTAACATGTACGGAGTGAGTTTATTGAAAAACAATATGGGATAAAAAATGGAACATTCTTAATCGAAAATATAAATCTATGCCACAGCGCTTGAAATGCGTAACTTTAGCTAAAAGATATCTAACAAAGCATTGTATGTCTCGTTATTTTCACGTTCTTTTAATAAATATAAACTACTCATTCCAAGTATTCGAATATTTATGTATGCTATTTTTCAGAATTTTTGAAAACAAGCAGACCTTTAAAGAAGATGATTAACAGCACAAGTGAAAGAAAAATACACTCATTTCGCTAATACTAGATGCTGATATCTGCAAATAAAACTGAAAAATACAAGTGCTCTAAAACAAATAATAGCATTATATATCATTCAAAAACGTATAAGCTTTCCCAGTTGATTTATGACATACTATACATCTCATAGCATATTAATATAAAACATATAAACATTAGTTAAGTGATAGTCTGACAAAAATTTCATTTTTTTTTTTTTCCTTTGAAGAAGGAAGCACATGCTTTGTGTAAAAATAATATATTAAAGAGTTTTTACTTCTTTAATATACTGGTTAACCGACAAATTTGACATAGTTCCACAACTTCACACGCGCGAAGAAATCATAACATATAACAAAGCAATTGTTGCCATTTATCTTCGAATAAAACCATTTTGAAATTGGAAGCAAGGCCTTGCTGGAAGAAATGAATGATGGCAAAGTGGCATGGGAAAATATAAAAATTTAAATTAAAGATTTTATGTTATTTTAAAAGAAAATAATTTTTTAATTAATTTTTACCTCTTAGAGAATAAATTTATGTTTGTCTCAGTGACAATTCTTTGTGATGCATACATTTATAAATACAAACCAAGAGGTCTTCGGTAACACTCCTATATACTTCAAGAATAGGTGCAACATAAAAATCCTCTCTTGGAACGCAAACGGGCTTTACCATAAAAAAAAGATGAATGATCCAACCTCATTATTGAAATTGAACCTGACGTAATACTCATACAAGAGACTCACCTTAAACCAGCACTCAAAGTACTTAATGCTAATTATAACACCTACCGTACGGATCGTGAGACAGGAAGAGGCGGTGGCATCATCACATTTGTTAAAAGGAGCATAAAACATTCTCAAATTCCTAATCCCAGCACCACTTTCGAAAGTAACACAATAGAAATTGTAATAGAACATAAAAAATTAAAAATTTCGAATATATACATCTCACCAAATAATAATCCCAGCGCACAAGAATTGATACCATTGTCGGAGAAGACTTCAACTCCAAACACCCCTGCTGGACCCGAGGACCTGCTAACAAAAAAGGAAATGACATATTTAAACTCATTCAATCAAATAATTATAACATTCATGCTCCAGGCGAGCCTACCCATTACGGGTACAATAGCGCCACCACAACTGACTTCTTCATCTCAAATAACATTACTAACAGATGCAATATCTCTGTAATTTCCCTGTCTTCCCACCACAACCCCATATTATTTGAAATCCCCATTAATAAATACCTCCCCTCACTTGACAGAAGTATAGAAGTTACAAATTGGATCAAATACTCTGAAATTCTGAATAACTCCATACAAGGTAACCCATGCATCAACAACAAAGAAGATTTAGAGCACGAAGTCTCAAAATTTACCAACTGCATCAATTCTGCTTTAAAGGAAGCCACCAATACTTTTTATGTGAACAAGCCTTTCCTCCCCTTGCCTGCCGATATAAGAAATAGTATTAAAGAGAAAAACTGGATCCGTAAAAGATGGCAAACCACCAGGGTCCACAACTCAAACGCGAACTAAACTCTATGCAAAAAAGAAATCAACAGAAGAATCAAAAACTTCAAAAACCAAAAATGGACCAATTTCCTAAATAACCTAGCTATAGAGGACAATTCCCTATTTGACATTTACCGCAAATTCAAGAAACCCTATAAAACTATTCCACCTATCCATGGACCTAGTGGAATTTCATATACAGAAGAAGATAAAGCTAAATCTTTTGCAGACTATATGGAAGATACATTCACTCTTAATCCCACTCCGTACGACAAAAATCATATTGAACGGGTCAACCAGGAGGTCAATAATTTCCTTAATACCCCTGCTCCGTACAACTTCACTTTCCTGACTACCCCAACCATCGTTGCCAACACCATCAGCGCCTTACAAACGAAGAAAGCCCCAGGGGACGATGGCATCTCGACCAAAGCACTGAAGCATCTTCCAATTAACGCTATTACCTGCCTAACTAAGATAATCAACAACATTATCAAATTCGCTTATTTTCCTAACTCATGGAAGCAAGCTATAATAATTGTTTTTGCTAAACCGAAACAAAATCCAACCTTCCCACAGAACTATCGCTCTATCAATTTACTTAGCCATCTGTCTAAAGTTACTGAGAAAATCCTACTTTTCCACATCCAAAAAATTCACCCTTCCATGAATTTTCTCCCAGAAAAACAATTCGGTTTTTGTAATCAGCATAGCACTTGCCACCAACTTCTTATCACATTATCACTGAAGGCTACAACTGCAAGCTTCCGACCGGTGCTATACTCCTCGATATCGCGAAAGCTTTTGACAGGGTATGGCATCGGGGCCTTATTTACAAACCAATCACTCTCAATTTTCCAGATCATATTATTCGCTTAATAGCCTTTTTTCTCAGCAACATAACATTCAGAATCAAAATCGGTACTGCTTACTCTACCACCAGAGTAATCAATACTGGTGTCCCACAAGGGTCGGCACTTTCGCCGTACCTTTTTAATATTTATACACAAGACATCACTAAAGACCCTTATGTTCATATTGCACTCTTTGCCGATGACACCGCCATACTTACTAAAGCCTGCACAGTTATCGCCGTAAGAAACCAATTCCAAAACTATCTCATAAAACTGGAAAAATGGCTTACTCTTTCGAGGATTAAAATTAACACTGATAAAACTAAGGCCATAATTTTCCGTAAAGGAAATATGAAATACTATCCTCCACGCCCTGAAACATTTGACGAAGAAATAGACTGGATTAATGAAACCAAATACTTTGGAGTCACCCTTGACCAAAAACTTACCTTCAGAACCTACTTCCGGTCCGTAGTACAAAAATTTAAAATCACCACAGCTACTATGCGACCTCTTCTTGGTAGAAAAAGCAACTTATCTACTACAAACAAATTAATTCTATATCGCTCCATTCTTCGCCCAGTCCTCCTTTATGCAGCACCGATCTGGGGACATGCATCTAAAACCAATATTAAACAGTTACAAATTCTACAAAAGAAAATTCTACGAGAAATAATCAATGCTCCTTGGTATATTCCAAACATTTATATTCACAGAGACCTTCGAATTGAACTTATTCAAGATTATATTAAATGATTAGCGGTCAATTTCTTTTATTCAGTACAAACTCACAGTAATAACCTTATTAGCACTCTCAGACACTCCCCGCATCCCAGAGAAAAACATCGGTACCCATGTCACATCCTACCCACATAAGAATTACAACCTTAATTGACTCATTCACGCTAAACTGACACTGCGGTTTACCATCCGCGACTACATCTTATAACGACACTGAACTTGCCATCCCCCCTTTTTATCGCCGCCGCTAGTGCGGACCTCATTCTCTTTTTTCCGCCTCCCACACTCCTTCCACCCTACTCTTTTTCCTCCCACCTGTTCCTTATCAGATGTCGAGTAAAAAGATGTTTCTACATCTTGACACTCGAGAATAAAATACGATCTGTGTGTATATACTAGAGGAGACTTATCTTTCGGTCAAGCAGTTTCAAAAGAGTAACATTATAAATCAAAGAGAATCATTTAAATTCAAATAGTACGTAATATTTATATGCATGGATGATTTACGACTATAAGAAATAAAATAGCCATTGCGCTTTACAAAAAAAAAGACGAGGATTAATGTCCGCCTTTGCTGTCTTAGGAGGGATGACCCAAAGCTAACTAGATATCTAGTTGGCAGAGTCGTAGCTAGGGTTTTCAGCGCCTAGGGACTGCTGAAGTTATCGCGCCCCTTTCTATTTTCTAAGAAAGCAAAACATTTAATTTTAAAATTTCATAACATCAATTCGACGCCCCTGGAAGCTGCGCCTGGAGACAGATGCCCCCCTCTGGCCCCTTCTAGCTACGCCCCTGCTAGCTGGCCTTGGATAACCTCACGAAAGACTTCCTGAGGGCCTCAAAATATCTAGCACTTGTGCTGTATGAGTAAAAAGTATTTTCTTATTATAATTGCAAATTGACTCTCTCAATTTGCACCTTAACTCTTTAACTTCCAACATTTGCGTTACTTTAATTATTTGGACACATTTTAAGATACATATAAGTGTACTTAAAAATATCAAGAACTTGATAAATTATTAAAACTTGTATACATTCTGGATGCTTAGAAAGACATGATGACAATGAAAATTGTGCGAAATCAAATATAAATTTTGATTACTGGGATATGAAGAATTTAAATTCCTCTGGAGCATAATGCTTTTGTGTGTGGGAAAAAAGAATAAGCTATAGTGGTTTCCATCTCTATTCTAAAAGAATGATGACATGGGTGAGACACATATTGGCAACGCAATTTTACCGGCGCTCAATGTTTAATGATTTCCCAAAATTAATCAAACTGATAAATAATCCACTTTTTTTTAAAATTATGTATCTTAAATGGAATACAATTTTATTAGCAATCGAGGGAACAAATAAAATTTGAATAAAGAAGCAAACATAATCAGCTTTTTCGGCAAAAATGAGTCTCAAGAACTTAAAAAAAATATTCTGTTACCAAAATTTATATTATTGACATTACTTATTTAAAATCAGAACTTTATTTTGTCCTCTTATGGAACAATATTCACTATGTAGTTTTAACCGCAGTTTCCGTTTTATTCCCATTGATATAAAGAGCATTTAATTATCACGGAATGGAAGCCATCTGGTTAGTAAGGATTGAGATATTCAAGGAAATATGAATGCCTTGCACATGATACCATGTTTAAGTTAGTTCATATGATCATGATCATGCTTCATTCTATGAGAAAATGCCATTCGGTTCTATTAGAACCTACGGCAATGCAGCGGATAGTAGCATTTCACTAAACTTGTGATTAAACTAAATATGGATTGCAGTTATTATTGGTGGTCAGTTATTGATGTTAATAGCTTTTTAAATTCACAATGAGGGAATGAGTAGCGAGAAAAAAATCAGTCAGATTTCAAAGTCGCCTCCCAAGCCCCTTCATTACAGAACTGAAACAAAACTGTGATGAACTCTGAAACACTTAGCGAATTCATACCCGGCTATGTTAAAAGACTGTTCCATCCAAAACGGTTGTGGAACTACTTAGTAAACTCATTTGCATATTTGAACATTGGATACGATTAACTATCTGATCTATTTTTTTTCTCAAAATGTTATTTTTTATCTGTGTGCGAAATATTTTTCTCATTTGAAGCACTTTTCTGTGGGAAAGGAGGCTGCGTCACGCTGAGCACTGGAAATCCATCTTTGGTCAGCTCAGCCTTGATCTTCTCCACAGAGTCGTCAGGCAGGCCAGAGGCAGTCGTCAGGCCACAGACAGTCGACTATGCGTCGAGAATAACCACTTTAAGTGGCGT